CACTACAGTCCGTTTGTGTCATCTGTGACAAAGTTCCTCCTCTGCCTTGGTGGGTCCTGTGCTTATTGGCGGATTTTCTCGCCTCAGAGGTTCACGGCAGCCCTCAGTTTGGCCACTTTCATGGCTCAAATCTGCCATTCACCCAGTTAGCCTCATCGCTGGACAGCATGGGGAAAGGAAGAAGAACAATCCCTTCAGTTTCTGCTGATCCACCTAGTGGATCGGGGAACAGGCCAGAGACCTTCCCCTCTGGTGAAACCCACAGTCCAGTTCAACTCCTCCGGTATCAAGTAGGGAGTTGGAGAGATGGCGGGATAGGGGGAACCCTCTACTCCAGGTTCCAACCCAGGACCCTGTGCATTACAGCTGTCTACAGTGCGTGACAGCTACAACTCCCTAGGCTACTTCCCCATGGCCTCCTCCCAACACCTTCTTTATTCTCACCACAGAACCTCCCTCCTGATGTCTGATAATGCTTGTACTTCTCAGTCTTCCAGTAATACGCCTTCTCACTCTCAGCTTCTTGCGCCTCTTGCTCCCAGCTCCTTGCACGCATGCCACAAACTGAAGTGAGCTCCTTTTTAAACCCAGGTTCCCTGATTCACCTGCCTTAATTGATTCTAGCAGCTTCTTGATTGGCTGCAGGTGTTCTAATCAGCCTGTCTGCCTTAATTGTTTCCAGAAAGTTCCTGATTGTTCTGGAATCTTCCCTGTTACCTTACCCAGGGAAAAGGGACCTACTTAACCTGGGGCTAATATATCTGCCTTCTATCATTCTCCTGTAGCCATCTGGCCTGACCCTGTCACACACCCTTTAGGTGGGACCTTGTTTTGTTGTCTGAAGTTATAATAAAGCTGCAGCCACTTGGCTAAATCTGTTGCTTCCATCCATTGCCACTGCCATTTGCCATTTATTTACAGTGATGTCAAACACAGTAAAAGGTTGTCATGAGGAAGCATAAAGAATTTGAGTGACTGAGCAAAATGCAAAGCACCCCTTAACACAATGGAAAGCTGTTTTTGTAATCCAAAACTCATTACAACAACACACACCTCTGTATCACCTAAGGCTGGGTAACCTTTCCAGACTCCTGATATAAAGCTATGTTGGTGTGAGGCTAAATTTCCAAGCTGATTGGTTAAACCCTATTTAAACTCAACTCTTTTTTGTAAAGCTGTAAATGAAATAGCTAAAGTTAAGGCAAGGACATCAGTGTGCATTGCCTGAATTGAACAAACTGCTATCCTTGATCTGTACATCACTGTCTATGATTAATTTGATCGATGCAGGGAAGGGAAGAGAGAAAGAGAAGGTGCGCATATATTACATCTGGGGGCTGTTTGAATGTAGTGCATGTATGTTGCATAGAGAAACATATTCCTAGTACAAGAGTCCTAGGTTCTGGTAGGAAAGAGGCGAAGAGTCAGCACAAGAAGAAAGGAAGTTAAGTGAGACTAAGAATAAAGACCCCCCCCCAACCTATTTATTTATTTATTTAGATTTATAATTATATGTCCCCATGCACAGACTAAGTTGGAGGTTCTCAAACTGGGGGGACAGGCCCTCTGGGGAGGGCATGGAATGTACTGGGGGGAGTCGTGACATTTTGTCCACAGCAATGAATAACTAACAAAGATGAGGAGTAATTGTGACACCTTAGAGAATAACAAATTTGAGCATAAGCTTTTGTGGGCTACAGCCCACTTCATCGGATGCATGCAGTGGAAAACATAGTAGGAAGATTTTGTATACGCAGAGAACATGAAACATTGGGTGTTACCATACACACTACAACGAGAGGGATCAGATAAGGTGAGCTTTTACCAGCAGGAGAGAAAAAAGCCTTTTTTAGTGATAATCAAGATGGGCCATTTACAGCAGTTGACAAGAACATGTGAGGAACAGTAGGGGGGAAGAAATAAACATGGGGAAATAGTTTTACTTTGTGTAATGACACATCCACTCCCAGTCTTTATTCAAGCCTAATTTAATGGTGTCCAGTTTGCAAATTAATTCCAATTCAGCAGTCTCTCGTTGGAGTCTGTTTTTGAAGATTTTTGTTGAAGAATTGCGACTTTTATGTCTGTAATTGAGTGACCAGAGAGACTGAAGTGTTCTCCGCCTGGTTTTCGAATGTTATAATAATTCTTGACATCTGATTTGTGTCCATTTATTCTTTTATGTAGAGACTGTCCGGTTTGGCCAATGTACATGCCAGAGGGGCATTGCTGCACATGATGGCATATATCAAATTGGTAGATGTGCAGGTGAATGAGCCTCTGATAGCGTGGCTGATGTGATTAGGCCCTATGATGGTGTCCCCTGAATAGATATGTTGACAGAGTTGGCAACGGGCTTTGTTGCAAGGACAGGTTCCTGCGTCAGTGTTTTTGTTGTGTGGTTGCTGGTGAGTATTTGCTTCAGGTGGAGGGGCTGTCTGTAAACAAGGACTGGCCTGTCTCCCAAGATCTGTGAGAGTGATGGGTTGTCCTTCAGGATAGGTTGTAGATCCTTGATGATGCGCTGGAGAGGTTTTAGTTGGGGGCTGAAGGTGACGGCTAGTGGCGTTCTGTTACTTTCTTTGTTGGGCCTGTCCTGTAGTAGGTTACTTCTGGGTACTCTTCTGGCTCTGTCAATCTGTTTCTTCACTTCAGCAGGTGGGTACTGTAGTTGTAAGAACGCTTGATAGAGATCTTGTAGGTGTTTGTCTCTGTCCTCAGATGGTGCTGTGCCTTTGACCCTAGATGGCACTGTGCATTTTGACAGATATCTGTTAAGTTTGCATAACATTATACAAAGTCATTGCCATCCGTATGTCAATCCATTTGCCTCAACGTAGTGTGCACATTTATCTGTGAGCATCGATCATAATCTCAGTTTTGCTTTTATTCTTATTTCAATGGACCATTGGCTCTATTCAAATAGACAGGTTACTGTTTTTAATATTTAGTGAGAGTTTGTCATAAATATAAAGGGAAGGGTAAACACCTTTAAATCCCTCCTGGCCAGAGGAAAAACGCTTTCACCTGTAAAGTGTTAAGAAGCTAAGAAGCTAGAACCTTGCTGGCACCTGACCAAAATGACCAATGAGGAGACAAGATACTTTCAAAGCTGGAGCGGGGGAGAAACAAAGGTTCTCTCTGTCTGTGATGATGCTTTTGCCAGGAACAGAAAAGGAATGGAGTCTTAGAACTTAGTAAGTAATCTAGCTAGATATGCATTACATTCTGTTTTGTTTAAATGGCTGATAAAATAAGCTGTGCTGAATGGAATGTATATTCTTGTTTTTGTGTCTTTTTGTAACTTAAGGTTTTGCCTGGAGAGATTCTCTATGCTTTGAATCTGATTACCCTGTAAGGTATTTACCATCCTGATTTTACAGAGGTGATTCTTTTACTTTTTTCTTCAATTAAAATTCTTCTTTTAAGAACCTGATTGCTTTTTCATTGTTCTTAAGATCCAAGGTTTTGGGTCTGTGTTCACCTATGCAAATTGGTGAGGATTTTTATCAAGCCTTCCCCAGGAAAGGGGGTGTAGGGTTTGGGGAGGATTTGGGGGGGAAAGACGTTTCCAAGCGGGTTCTTTCCCTGTTATATATTTGTTAGACGCTTGGTGGTGGCAGCAATAAAGTCCAAGGGCAAAAGGTGAAATAGTTTGTACCTTGGGGAAGTTTTAACCTAAGCTGGTAAAAATAAGCTTAGGGGGTTTTCATGCAGGTCGCCACATCTGTACCCTAGAGTTCAGAGTAGGGAAGGAACCTTGACAGAGTTGCATATTGATTTTTGTTTTAATCGATATATGTACTTGTGTGTGGGGAGGGGCATAAACCACAACAGACACAAAGAAGAGATGGGCGCGATCAAATAAGTTTGAGAACCATTACTCTAAGTACGCTGTCAATTATTTAAAATTACAAAATCAAACTGCATCATCATCAGCTCACCCCTTCCGCCCAGCTGCGGAACATACTAAAACACCAGCACTCCCAGACATTGGCCTACACCTTCATCTTACTTCAAAGGCCAATTGAAATAATTTGGCTTTACAGATTGCCCTGAAATTTGGCAAACGCAAGCTAGTTTGGACTGGAGTTGGAGGCCAATCCACAGCTCTGGGACCCTTATGGAGACTGCCCTGCCAGGCAGTACATGCTGTATTCTAGTTCACATTTCACTGCTGTTGTAGCTTTGTAAAAAAGAGTATCATATAAAGCACTTTCCATAAGTGAGTTCACTAGATAGGTCTCGGTACTTTGCACATATATGGGAGCAATCTCACTTCCATCTCCATATACACAAAGATCCTCAGACACAGCACAACTGGTACAGTTTTTCACTGCACAGGGGCACTAGGCAAATAGAGGAGGGGGAGGCAGGTTTAGTGAAGATTGCATAAAGGTCTGCCTACGGGCTCCCTGCACTTCACAGAGTGGGGCTTGGGGAGGCAAGAGCAAGATGGAGGAGGGGGTGGAACAAATATGCAGCCAGTGAATCGCTAATGAGAGCAGAGTTCAAGAGCAACTGTGGCATAAGGGTTGCTGTGGTGCCCATGGAGTGACTCCACTGCCACTCTGGGGCTTGGGGAAGGAATCCTTCTCTCCAGTAGCACCCCCTTCCACTATACCTGCTGACTCAGGATTGGCATGGGGAGAATATTTGTCCTATATTACCTTTCACCAGAGGCCTGCAAACTCTTTACAGTTAATTGACCCCCCTGCCCAATAGGTGTTAAGTCCATTTTCAATATGGGTAAATTGAGTCACAGAACTTAAATGGACTTGTCTGAAGTAATACAGCAACCCAGTAGCAGAGTTAAGCACAGAACCCAAGACCCCTGCAGCTTCTTCAGAGTCACTGAAAAACCTTTCCTGTCTTGAACTCTAAAACATACAAGTGGAAAAGTCTCTTCAGACCCACCCCCAACACTCACTCACCATATTCATTAATGCATTCCAGAAACAGAGTACGGGATAGGGGAAAGAATAGCCCCAAATACTCACTTTTCCGGTTGTTTCCAACAGCAATACTGTTTTCAGATTTATGTTGTCACATTGCTTAGCAGCAGGCTCCCAGAAGCTGCAGAAATAGTTCCAGTCCTGTCTACCCTGTAAACTAGATAACAACAAGAAAGCATTGGAACGGTTGCCTTTCCTTCAATCAATTAAAGGGCACATATAAGGGAAGAGAGACATTGTTATAAAATTATCTGCAACTTCACTACTAACCAGGCTACTGTAGCTCTGCTGTGCTGTATTGGTAGAAACAGCTTCCAGTTAGAAATATTTGCAAATGCACAAACAAAATCAAGTCAAATAACTTCCGTTTTTATCTATTTTTGAGGATTTTTTTTAACACAAATTAGTAAAAAATACAAGGCTCTTGATTTTCTTGGCACTGAGAGACCCAAATTTACATTGTGTGCATGGTTTTTTACAAGGTGGAAAAGGCAGAGATCTGAATCAATCCCCAAAAATAGACCTTGGGCTACATGAAAAATCTATACACCTGTGTTGAATCATCATAGAAACTGGGCTCATATAGCAGGGAAATGTCTTGGGAGAAAGCCTTAAATTGTATTTTCACAGAGATAAGAACCTAGTATAACTAATCACACTTCTGTTTAACTTTAGAGAGAATATTTTCATGACCTCCCATTTATTGAAAAGAAAATGGGATTTTATTCGTTTTTTGACTGAGCTGTCTAACTTTGACTATTAGCTCATTAAAAGCTCATTTTATGGCACTAACTTTCATTAAACGAATAAATTCCAGGCAAAAAAAAATGATGTAGAATTTTCATACGAGAAGAATCAAGACATGTAATTCTCTTTTCTTCTGTAAAGTTAATTACAAGATGTCCCTACACAACTTTTTTAAAAAAAATCTCCTGTTACAATTGGAAAATAGAGACTAAAACATCCTAACATCAATTAAGCATTATCTGTAAACTCAGGTATCAACCTTTTAATTGATATTTTGAAAACAACTAACGTGTACCTGAACATTGGAATACTGGCTTTTGCTAGTGACACAATTAACTCTTCATCCAAGTATCAAAAATGTGTTATACTATAAGGCTGAAGGGAAAACATTTCATTCTGAGTGCGGCTTTTTATATTCTCTTCTCTCAAGTCATCGCCATTACAGGTAAATTATATTAAAATACAATTTTTGTAGACAATGGAGAATCAAAAGATGAATCAATGAATGTGTCAAAATAATTTTGACTTAGTAGTTGATATGAGAGAAGGTCACTTTTCAAAACCTCAAGTCCTTATTCATATAGGGCCTGATCCTACAAAGAATTAAGCATATATGAGTAGCCTCACTGACTTCATTGGGACTGTTCACATGAGTAAAAGTTACCCATTATGCTTAAGTCTTTATGGGATCAGGCTCTTAGAATATATAAGCTGAAATCCTAACCCTGTTGAAAACAAATTAGAGTTTTTTCATTGACTTCAATGGGGCAAGGATTTCACCCATGTAATCCTTTCAATCCTTCAATTTCTGATAGTAAGTAAGTAAAAAGAAAACTTCAGGAGAGACCAACCCACAGTAGTTTGAGCTACTGCTGCTGCTAAGCAGGCTAAAATCATCAGTTTTATTCATTCCACTTTTTTTCCCCCCCAAAAGAGGATACTATTTACTTTTCAGGTGTTCTAAAAGATAACCTCAATTTTATGTTAAAAATGTTCTGATAAACCAGGTTTACTCTAGCAAGTGTACAATACAATTAATATATCTTGCATATGATTCAAAATACAAGTCTCTGATTTTTCCTCTTCTGACATTTCCACAGTATTTCCATATCAGACCGATTTGAATCTTCAGCTACTTTGATTAATCAGTTTCTCAAGCTTAACTGTCTAAGATAGTACATCCTCTGGACCAGGACCAGCTGTAGGCACCAGCAAACCAAACCCATGCTTGGGGCGGCACAATTCCAGGGCTGGCATTCCGGGTTGGGTTTTTTTGAGCTCTTGGAGGTTGGGGTTTTTTTTTCCCGCTTGGGGCGGCAAAAAGCCTAGAGCCAGCCCTGCTCTGGACATATTGTCTTATACAAATATCAGCTCATCAACAGGCTTTTAGCTTTATCTGGCAGAGGAAAAATTAATTTTTTTTGCAATAGCAACAACCAAACTATTGCATGTTCATGCAACTCCAGACACTTTACTTTTTCATATCGAATAGATCTGCAGTGTTTTATTCATTGTTTTTTAAAAACCCGTGTTTTGAATGTTTATACAATTTTAAAAACTTATGATATTGACAAAAAAACCTGCAACATGAAGAGACACATTCCCTGGAGGCCTTTAGGATATCAGGACAACACAGGGTGTTTGTGTGTGTGTGCACGCACAGGCGCACACAAACTGTAAGGAAGAAGGACTTAAGCAATATTTTTTGCTACAGAACTGCACACATTAGCAGAGGAAAGAAAATTAATGTATTGATGCTGTCTGAACTCAGGTGATACTGTTTTAAAAGAATATAAAACAATGGAAATTATTCTTTGACCTTGCTCTGGACTTTGAAGACTATAGTTTGACTTGATTTGACAGCAAAAGTCTAGCTACAGTTTCATTGCCAGGCTTCATTCCAATACTTGATCAACTTCCCACATACAGTTCCATCTTCAAAAATAATAAAATATCAGTTTAAAACAAACAGTCACACTGCATGAAGCTAAAATACCCTAAATACAAAAACCCCAACCAAATCAGCACACACCGATTAACATACCAGTCAACAAAGCTCTTCATCATGAGCATGATGGGATCTTTCAGGGTTAGCATAGGATGTGGAGACGGAACAACATCGTGGAGCCATCTCTGAAAATTCACAGCATAAATCCAGGTCTCTTATTGATTTTAGATTTTCCCCCAGAGACGCAATTGCTTTGAAATCTCACTTTGCTAAATGAAGCACGTTGCCACTCTCCTGATCATGTAACAAAATCCATTTGGCGGTACGTGAGATTTCTCTATGAACACTGGGAACCTTCTGTTGTTTTAAATGATCACAGAACCTTTGTTCCCACTTGACCAACTCCTTATAAGTGAGTATTTCAGACACAAAAAAGGAGGTTTACAAGCTGCCTCCTCAGCATTCCATAATTGAGCCATGTACTGTAACTTCAAGTGACTGCACTGCATTTAACCAGTCCATCTGTGTGTCTTACAGGTAGCTTCTCGGGGGTGGCAGGGTGAGTGGGAAAAGGGATGGATAGACTCAAACAGAGATTCTGAAACATGCTGAAGCCAGCGCTTAGCTGGCTGATCAGCTGTGCATCGTGAAATGCCAGCAGAGCAATCTGACCTCAGTAGAAGAGAGGACATTAAGGAAAGGAAACATGACCAGGGGAAATTTTCTGTATGACTTAGTAGCTGGGGAAAAAATAATATTTTGCAACATACATCTCAATACTTTCAAAATAACCTTTCTATGAAACAGAAAAGTATATAATCTAAGGGGTTTTTCTTTAAAAAATAATTACTCAATCTGCTAGTTATCTGCAGACAAAAAAAATTAAACTGTCTTTCCTGTTTTTCTGAGATGCTTTAAGTGGAAAATATGATGATTATACGATGAGTTGTCACTCAGCTACAACCCACTCCCTCCTATTACTCAGTACAGCTGCTTTAATATTCAGTCAGCTCAGCTGCCTTTTATATTCATTACATTCAGGCATTCTCAAATGTCTCTTATCAAATAGGACAGGTTCTGCCCTCACTGGCCTACAAGGGATTTGTCCCCTTATTGTTTTGTTGTGAACTAGGATTGAATATGGAAGAGAATAGGAAACCTATTTCGTTGTTATTTGGATTTCTGCATTATGTATATTTTTGCTGTGGCCTTCCTTTAGATCTGCAGAACACTAAGGGTGTGTGGTATAGTGCTGCATGTCACATATTGAAAGTGACTGTACTCTGTGCAAAATAGGAAAAAACAACAACTTTTCCCTATCTGCTTTCAGCATGTAAAGAGATTTAAGATATAAAAGGTATTTCCTCCACCTGTCCCTGTGGTTCCAACCCTGGATATAACTTGGTTGATCAACATCTTTACAGCTAAATATCTTCTTAATACCTTGAGAAAACTTCCTGGTCCCACTGTTATCTGATACCTGTTTGCCAAAGGCAGGCTTCATTGTCCCCCTAGCCACCTGAGCAGCTATGGGTTAGATCTTCCTAATTCAGACGGAAGAATTAAAAGAAAGTTGATGTGGACCCAAGGACAAGTTCTCAAGTTGTTTGTGGATGCTCCAACTTTATTTGAACTTAAACCATCAGCTGAGCTGGGTAAACCACACAGCACAGCTTCTGGCAGTGCCATTCCACTGTCGATATTCAGCTGGCCACAATGGCCTCAGATACAATTTTGTTTATTTATTTTTAAAGTGGAATGCAATTTAAACTACTCTCCACCACACACAACCTACTGAGAGACAGGGCCTGGATGCCAGACTTCTACATGGAGTTGGGGAGACGAGAAGAACTGAGATGAGGACAGCCTCAAGCTGCACCAAATATTGAAGTTCACCCTTCACCAGGCTGTGCCAATGCACAGGACCAATGCCTAAGCAGCCCTCCAACTCTCTCAGCTCAACCTTTGCTACCCTGCAGTCCACACAGATAAATCTTCACAAGTTTCAGCAACTTTGCTCTGTGAACCCAGGAACTAGACTTCCTGGTTGCCAAGAAGCAAGCAAAAAGACCCACATATCTGTTTGCCAATTCTGCCTACCCAGAAAAAAATCCCTTCCATGTCCCAACATGGTGACGGGCCACGAAGTTAATGCACTGGGCAATCCAGCATACCCAATTTAAGGGTGAGGCTGAGTAAGTGTACCAAATACTGGCTTTCTATACCAGGAAGCCTCTCCCCACATGTTGCCCACTGAGATCCCAAAAGACAGACTAATGTCACGTAACCAACAGCAACGTGGGTAGGGAGCGGGGAGAGGGATTCAACCCTGCCTCCCCATGCACAACACACACAATCCCTTACCTGTGTCCCCTTCCCCAGAGCAGGCACCAGGATAGCCCAATCCCCTGGATAGGTGCGAAGGCGGGAAATGGTACAGTGAGCCACTCAGAGGAACTCCA